CCCCAAAACCCCAAAACCCCAAAACCCCAAAACCCCTGGTAAAGGGCCAATTATTGAAACTATTAATTTAAAAAATTATTATCGCCATTGCTCAATAAGGATGAACAATACATTAATGAATACGATCCTCTTGCATCCTCTCTTTGAGAGGAATCAAGAGGCGACAGTCTATGTAGGAAAATTAGACAGCAAGGTCAATGAAGAACTGTTGTGGGAACTCTTCATCCAATGTGGCCCAGTCATGAATGTCCATATCCCTCGTGATAAGATTACGAATGAACATCAAAATTATGGATTTGTAGAGTTCAAGAACGAAGAAGATGCTGATTATGCTATTAAAATCATGCATATGATCAGACTGTTCGGTAAACCAATCCATGTCAATAAGGCAAGTCAGGATAAAAGAACTCAGGAAGTAGGAGCAAATCTTTTTGTAGGTAATCTCACTCCTGAAGTAGATGAAAAGTCACTCAAAGATGTGTTCTCAAGTTTCGGAATCGTACTTTCAACGAGGATTATGAGAGATCCAGAGACTGGAATTTCCAAAGGATATGGATTTGTGAATTATGATAATTTTGAGAGTGCTGACATGGCAATTAATACAATGAATGGTCAGTATATCTCAGGGCAGCCAGTAGACGTGTCGTATGCATACAAAAGGGATACAAAGGGAGAGCGTCACGGTTCTACAGCTGAGAGAATAATTGCTTCGAAGAAGGCAAATGCAACTAGTGGCATTCCATCAGGTAATTCTGAAGATCGTAAAAGACCCCCAATGCCTCCAAGCGGACCTCCTCCAATGCCTTCAAGAGGAGCTCCTCCAATGCCTCCTAGCGGAGCTCCTCCTCCAATGCCTCCAACCGGTGCTCCACCGATGCCTCCAAGTGGAATGCCTCCCATGCCACCTAGCAGTGCTCCTCCTGCTCCCTCAGGACCCCCTCCAATGGGAATGTATCACCCCATGCCTCCTCCTGGAGCTCCTGGAAGAGGACCATCAGGAGATAGAAGAGCTGCCCCTCCTCCTCCACCAGGAGCCCCTCCCAGCTATTACTAATTTCAATATTCATTGCTAAATTGGGGTTTTGGGGTTTTGGGGTTTTGGGGTTTTGGGGTTTTGGGGTTTTGGGG